TACATTTCTCTTGGGGGCTATTCTGCTGGGCTAGAGTCATTAGAAGCAATTTTAACTTTAGGTTGTTATATATAGCACATCTTTCAAAGCATAATCAGGCTCTGTGGTTCATGATCTGCTTATTAGATTAAAGGTCTGTGTGGCCAAAGGGTTGTACTTCTAAAACTACTGAGAAATAAACAAACTAGACTAGACAGGGAAGGAAAGGTCTGCAAGTTGGTCCCTATATCCTGATCAGGGGGTTCTTTTCCTCCTTCCCTGGTTCACCAAAAAGTACACTTGCCCACACTGTTCACATTCTCAAAATATGTTTGTTACTCTCAGGGCTACTGGAATATATATCCTCCAACGGTTGCCTTTTCACTACTCAATGAACTGTTCTGCACACCCCTGCTTATATTTTAGGATTCTTTTTCCTTTGGGAGAGAGAAGGGTGGTTTGTAAAAATACTAGTGGAAAGTAAGCATTAAGAATCACTTCACCTTCTCCATCAAATAAATCCACCTGAATTTCCAGTTCTATGAACCAGATATGTAATTCAAAAGTTTGATGAAGAACAGAATACTCTGAGTCTCAAAATATCTCTCCATAAATTACTTATTAACTACAAAGGGACAAATAATAACTTGACAGTGGAGAAAGTTCGTGGGCACCACCTTAACCAAGATGCTAAGGAGACAGATGACCATGAGGGGGCTCCTGTAAGGATGCACAGAGAGACACACCGTCACCTCTGTGGAACCCCATCCAAAGCACGTAACATGAAAGAACCATGAGGAAACAGAGGACAAACCCAGACCGAGGATCATTCTACACAACAACCAGCCTATACTCATCACAAACTCTCAATAATATGAAGAACAAAGAGGCTGGAGAATTATTTCATATTTAGACCAAAGTGACATGAGAACTAAGTGCAATGCATGATTGTAGACTGGTTCCTGGCCTGAAAAAATTAGCCATTAAGGATGTTACTGGAATAAGTGACAAAATTTGAATATGGACGGTAGATCAGTCTACAGTATCAATGTTAAATTTCTGACTTAGACCACTGTGCTGCGGTTTGGTAAGAAAATGTTGTTTCACTCAGGAAGTAATCACTATTTCTAGGGAAAAGGGCACAATGTCTCCTTACCCTTAAAGGGTTCAGGAGAAAAAAAACATGTATATATGGAGAGACAGTGAATGCCAAAGCAAATAAAGCTAAATATTAATAATTGGTGAATCTAGGTAAAGCACATACAAGAGTTCTTTGTACTAATCTTGCAACTTTTCTTTAAGTTTGAAATTATATCTATAACTATGTATCTACCTCTATATAGATATGTAAAATAAACACACACCATTCAAAATAAATACATCAACCTAAAATCCAGCCTATTCTTCAGGTATTGTTGACAATCTGAAGAGAAACAAAGGCTAGGATCCCAACGGGGATTGGGTCAGTAGATTCATTCATTAGGACCCTGAGTACATTTCTACTAACTTAAATTACACTTTCATTTGAATAAAACATTTTGGACTTCCTGAAACTCAGTGCCAATTACTTATACATTTAAACACTCAAAGTATGAATCCACACTTTTCCCCAAGTGAGGCCCAAGGCTGTCAATATCCTCATGTGCTAACAAGTAAGCAAGGCCAATTTCTATAACCTAACTATAGAACCTCTGTGTAAGTAAACTTTTTCTAATATGCCCAGTTCCCTATTTTCTTAGAAAATCCAATTTGCTCTGGGATTTCAAATATACCAGAGGCTCTTGTTTTTGTCACAACAAATGAACTATTTTATTCTTTAGCTTCTTAGAAAGAAATTCAATAAATCTTTGCTCACTGATAGCTTTTCTAGCTCTCTCCCAGTATCTCTTTGATCAAGCTTTTCCACCCACTCTGGAATAATCCAGGGGTAATTAGAACTTCTTACCTTCTTTAGCCCAAAAGGAGACAATTTATCACAAACTGTCATGGATTCCGATTCTAAATTACCAAGAGCCCAATTACTAACAGAGGCAAGGAATCTTCTTTCCAATTAAAGTGATTGATTTCTTTGCAGACGCAGTAGCATTTCACTTTTTAATTATGTTCATTCTGATCGAATGTGAGAAAATTCTTCTCATTTTATTTTCCTTCCAAAGAACACGATACAACAAACATTAATCACACAGCGATACAAGGCCAGACCTGCAAGTGCCTTCGGCAGACCTGGACATCTATCAATGGGTCTTGTCCATTTTACGGGGTCTTAGTGGCTCCTTAAGCTCTAAAGGGGAAAAAAGGAATAGTTATTTGTTACATCACATAGTTCACCTAAGGGCTTGCCAAACCTTCCAGCATCTGCTAAGTTGTGACGAGATAGCATTAGATATTTAGATAAACACAGACTAGCGCGGAACAGATCAATTCCAATTTTGTTTCTTGTGCAGGCAAAGAACAGAGCCGCAGTGCTGGGGATGAAGCAGTGTGTGCAGGTAAACATAAGCAACGTGGGAACAAATCTGTTTTTTCTCACTTAGGTGGTGTTAACATGATTATGTGTTGTCAAATCTTGAAAGAGAAAAATAGTCAAAATCAGTTTGGGAGGACACTTTGGAAGATCTAAAGGAAGATGAGGCCGCCAAGCCTTACACAGATTTCCCAAGGCCTGAAAGACACCTGTCTGTCCACTTTGCTTTTAATCTTAAAGACTGGCCAGTTGTGGCTCCCACAGCCTGTTGACCCAGGGCCTGCATCCTTATCTCCCCTTCCACCTCTCTCCACATGGTCAGCAGACTGGCGTCCGTTCACTCACTTGAGACATTCAAAGGTCAAGGTTTTCACTCAGTGAGTATCTTCCAGCGATCTGAGCTCCAGACAACAGTGACCACCCTTTGTCCTGGTATGAACGCAGTTGCTCACCGTTTTCCAAACACTTTCACACAAATATAAAGAGTCTGAGAGCTCTCCAAGATTCTAAATTTTAGTAAAAAATGAAATTACATAGGAAGCTTTTGAAAAATTAAATATCCGCGTATGTGAGATTATACCTCTGCCTTTACTGCAGGCTGTTTGTGAAATTCAGGAAGTCCTGTCTTTCCATTCATTAAACGGACAGTCATTGAGCTCCTCCTAAGGGCAAGGCAGGATGCCAGGTGATGGAGGTGGAGAAACAGGGCTTGTTCCTTGCTCTGATGGGGAAGGCACGTAAGCAGACACCCTCGGCACAGGAAAACACAGAATGGAGGTGCTGTGACGGGATAAAAGGGTCACGCTTATACGAACAAAGGAAAAGCGCATCCTTGCAATGCAGGAGACACAAACAAGGTCAGGAGGTTGGCAGGTGTCTTGAAGGAACGTCAGTCTTGCTGAGCGGGGGCAGGAACTCCAGGCTTACCCGACGTAGCATGGGTATATACGCTCGCCACATTCCAAGAACCAGAAACACAAGAAAGAAGAAGCCAGACCAGACACCACAAAGCTGTGACCGTTGGGCTCAGAAGCCTGGGCTTTTTTATGAACCAAGGAGGAGCATGAAGGGGAAGTGATCGTCCAACGGGCTGTGCTGGTAGGGGCAGGTGGGGGCAGATGAGCCTGCTGAAATGATCCGCTGAGGGCTGACAGAGCTAGCTGTGGGAATGGGAATGGAAATAAGTGGAGATTCAAGAGATTTGGGGCTGGTACAAACCACAGGGACTTGTCACCATCACGTGAATGGATGAGGAAGGAGGCAAAATAGACTCTGAGCACTATTATATGTGAACACTTGGATGGCGTCCAAGCACTGGCCGGCTTTTGCCATTTAAAAATTTACTGTGGTTATCAGTCACATCCTGCATTGAGCCCTCGTTTTAAGCTCTTCATACATCCCTGAGATAAGTGGGGGAGTTATTTCAATCCTCCTTTTCACAGATGAGAGAACCAAGATTGGTAAGGCTTAGCCCTAAGCAGGAAACCCAACTAACCCAACTAATTGGTACAGCACTGGGACGAAAGATCAGTATAGTCCTCATTACACAATCCAACGAAACACGAAGATAGCTCAAAACTGTCCTAGTGGCATGTTTCCAGCCTAAGTGGGACAAAGTTCATAGAACTTTATACCGTGAGCTGTGTTGTAACGTGGTTTGTTGATACTGCCCATTCCAAAAGCCAACGGAAAGCTACCAGTATGCTGAATCATTAAAAACATGGATGTACAGGACTCAAGTCTTACACCTTTTTGAACAAAATACCCTTCACAGATGCTATTTTCAGACTCAAGTTTTCCCAACATAAAGTTTTTAAAAGAACAATCTGTCTAAAAAGCATGTAAAGAAATTCATTGACAAAGGTTTAGATGTTTTAGGACTTTAATGTCCTTCGCACGGTCAACATAAAACACTGACAATGGATAAACAAGAGGGGAAAAGACTCTTCAGCAAAGATCTTCCCAAACTCACGGCATCACTGGTCAAACACCAGAAAGAGAACAGTCACGTGAACAAACAGTAAGGGAGTTTAACAGAGATTTTTAGTTTAACAGCATAACTGAAAAACAAAGAACCAACCAACCAACCAACCAACCAACCATTCTTCTACCAACTGAAAGGAAAGTAAAAGTGAACCAGGGAGCTTCCAAATCTTGTGAAGCAGCTTAAAAAGGGAGAGGGGAGGGGGAAGGGGAGGCACACAGCTGTTGAGAACGTAACACTCTAATGCACAGGGTCAAGGATCCCAACAAGTTCTCAAAGTCTCAACATATATCAACAAGAAACGTATTATTAGAAATATAAATGCACAGAGATATAAATGCATAGAGATATAAACTATTTGGTATTAAAAACAGACCTTGCTATATAAACATATAGTATGCCACTTTTATCTCTTTATGAGAATAAAGGTATAAAGAACGATCTCCAGTTTGCCTTTTAGTCTGGAACAACACAACACGGTTGGTGGTGACCTGAATTAATAGCTGCAGAATCCAAAAGACCCCACTGCTGTCATCTTGCAAAGGATCAAAATTCAGCACCTAGAGGGCTCCACCCACCCTCCATGCTGTGTGTTTGTGTGTCTCTAAACATTAATAACCTGCAGTTTGCATATAATTAAACTCATAGGCAGCTTTGAATATGAGATCTAGGCAGAAAAAGTAGCAGCAAAGACAACAGTAGTTAGAATTTGGTAGAAAAGCAAGAGAAGATTTTTTAAAAGCTTCCAGTTCAAGTTAGAATTAAGGTTAAGTTTCAACAGCTTAGCATAGCTGTGGATGTTTTGCTGTTCTCTGAAAAAAGAAGAAAATCTATCATAAGCATGTTCATTCGAGAAAAATACCACGTTGAGTTTTTTTAGCCATGCCCAAGTGACTTTCAATTTTGTACATTGTTCAAGGGCAGAATGTATATTGGTTAGGATGTGCTCATAGCTGGTGCATCTCCAAAAAATTCTTCATGAAGGCTGCCAGTTTCTGGACATCTTCAATGGTGACAGCATTATACAAAGAGGCCCGAATGCCTCCCACGGACCTAGAAGAACCACAGGTGCAGCCGTTAAGAACAGGAGCATCTGGTTGAGCATCAAGACGACCCTCCTTCCCGTCACCAGCTCCTGCGAGTCACGGCACCTGAGACCATCGTGTCCAACCTCCCACCTGAAAGACCCCGCGGGTGGCCAGGAGCTTCACACATCTCAGTCATTAAAAAATTCCTTTCCAACGCAGTAAAGGACCGTCACGCTTACATGGAACCTAGGTTAGCTCAACTCTTCGATGAGCCTGCCGTGCAGCGGGCAGGGAGCGGGCAGCTATTCTCATGCGTGAGAACGTACATCTTCCATGGAGCTGACAGAATTAACTACTCTCTCTGACGTCCGGGGGAGCAACAGTGTTTGTTCTTACACTGAACAGGCTGTGCCAGCTGCACCAGAGCTGGGATGGCACCCTTTGTGCTGTCAGAGCAGAGATTTTCAAAGGTAATTTTGACCAAAGCTCCTAGAAGATGTGCCCCCCACCCATGCTCTCGGCCGTGGAATCGTGCTAAGGGGTCTGTAAGCAGCAGCAGGAGAACCCGCGTAACAAACGGTCTTTCCCAACTAGTTCCAATAACTGCTACTCCAGGATGGGCAGGCTCCTAGATGTGTCTCCTTCAGCGTCTGAAAACTAAACCAATTCTCTGACAAGCTTCTGGATGGGACAAGTACTTACCTATGCCCTTTCAGGGAGATCATATTGAGTTCAAGAGCTTTGTCGAGAAATCTTTTTTCTAAAGCATCATCTCCTTTGGTGTTGCCGATGCGGAATGGAATATTCATCCTGCTTCTATTCTGGGGCTCCACTGGGCATCTGAAAAACATGTTTTTTGTTCCAGCTATTTTTCTGCAATGTGCAACTGCCATTAACAAAGCAACAGAAAAAAAAAATTTTTTTAATCCAAATAAACCCATTTATATATTATATTTAAGCATTCAGAATCACATAATTCCAGGAAAGTGAATATTATTTAATAAACAGAGAGGGATAATTGTAGTGCTATATATTATATTTAAGCATTCAGAATCACATAATTCCAGGAAAGTGAATATTATTTAATAAACAGAGAGATAATTGTAGTGCTGTATAGGGAAAATTGATTTAGATCTAAAACTTATACCTCAAATGAACTCTATGTCAGTTATTTGGTTATAGAAATGCAAAAAGAAAAAAAAAAGTAAAGCATTAGTTACAAAAATTAAAGTTATGCTAACATATGAAGAAACATCATAACATTGGATTACTTGGACATTTTTTGTATGTTTGAACTATTTCCTTAAATCAACTTCCCAGAGTAAAACTGTTGGCGTGTGCGCGCACACACACACACACACACAAACACCACACATGCACACAAAACACACCACACACACACAACACACACACACACACAACACACATTTACATGGTTCTTGACAGGCGTTGGGAATCAAATTCAGAACACATGTTTTGAAAAAATATGAGAGTACATATTTAGAGATAGAATTAAACAAAACATCTGAACTAAAGCCCATCCAGAACATCATATATTCTGTAATTAATTTACAACAGGTAAAGTTAGAAACGACCTACGTCTACCATAGAAATAAAATACATTATAACATTTCTTTATAACTAAATATTAAGATGCCACATAAAAAGATAAAAAGATTAGGCTGCAAAATGGAAGTGGTTTATGATCTAATAAGTGAAAAATTTTAGATGTTATGGGTACTCTAGTTAAGAGTATAAATGTGGATATAAAGATTCTAAGGAAGCATAGAGAAATAGAAAATATTTGTGTTCAGGATGTGAGAATATGGGATAATTCTATGTTCCCTTTAATGTTCTTTTAATAATGTTATATATTTAAACATCATAATGGAGTATACTGAAATGTACAGGTGACTGGAGTAAGATTGTTCCCATCAACTTGCAATTCTATTGCCACTAGTTAGGGTGAAAGTAGACTATGAAGTAAATGTAATAAATGTGAACTGGATGCCCTAAAGCACAGCTGATATCTAATCCAGTTTTAATTGTCAGCAACAGGAAATTTTTTAAAACCATTTTCCACATGCAAACAAGAGATTAAAAAAAGATCTGTGCCAGGACATTTATAATTTTCTTAGGGAGATCACTCATGCATATCGAACAGTGAGTTAACATTCTCTTATATGACTCATACTTAATTTCCAAGAGCCTCAGTTTCCTCATCTGAATATTGGGAATGATAATAATATCTCCATTTCATACTAGCTATGACAGTTCAGTGGTACAACATAGATGAAGCTTCCAACCCATGGCAGCCACACAGCAATGTGAATGACCCTTTCTCTACAAAGCTGCAGAGAAAAAAAATAAGTTGGTCCGAATAGTGGCTGTAAGATTTAAAAATAATGAGCAGCAGCTTTCAAAGCACTTAAAACACTGTACTGTCCCAAGCTGTGTGACCTTGAACAAGTTACTAAATCTCTGTTGTGCCTCTCTAATGTGAGGACTAAATGGCCACAAATTCTCTCCAGCCCTCCCAGCAACATGTGGGGTCTTGTGCTCCACACCTTTTGAATCTGGGCTGGCCTTGTGGACTTGCTTTGACCAAGAGACTGCAACAGGAGTGACGCTGTGCAACTTTCAAGCTGAGGCCTCGAGGGGCATGTGGCTTCTATATCTGCCCTCTTAAAACATCACTGCCATGTAAGCAAGCCCGAGCTAGCCTGCTGGAAATAACAGGCCCAGCCAACAGCCAGCCAGCACCAGCTGCCAGACAGATGAGGGGGGCCATTTAGACTCTAGGTGGATCGATCACCAGATGACCTTGGTTGAATAAGTGATCTCAGATGAGACCAGCAGAAGAAACCACCCCACTGAGCCCAGCCCCACCTGCTGACTGAAAAGAATCCTGAGCAAAAGAAATGGCTGTGGTTTTCAGTCACTGTCTTGAAGTGTTCTATGATGCAAAAGTAGATAACTGATAGAATTTAGAACAGCGTCTGGAACACATTCAATGCTATGTAAATAACTATTGAAGCCAATAAATTTGTCTTTTTATTCTCAGTACCTTACACAAGGCTCACAGACTCTCAAAAATGAACGAGTCAAATTTCATCTAGGATACGTTAGTATTTGACTTCAGTTTCTGATTTGGAAAGTAAGCAAGCCAAAATTATCTTCCATTGACAAACAAAGGAGACAAACAGAAGAAGAGATGACATGCTATTCTGGATTACAAGGAAGATATGTAATAACTCTCTCCATTTTCTCAAGCACATCCTATTTCATTCTTCCCCTTCTACAGGGTGGGATTCATTAAAATTAAACAGCAAATAAAAGCAGTGTGAGGATGTCCCCATTAAAAGCTATGCTCGCTCCTCAGGGCACACACATAATTCCTGTTAAAGTTAATAGGAGTCAAGTGCACATCGATGGACAGAAGAGACACAAGAAGGGAAACCAAGTATCTGGTAACAGGCTTTGAGCCTGAATTCTGGGCCCCCCTTTTCACAGGTAGTAGGTATCCTGGTTGACATTTAAATTAAAAATTTAGTGTCTACCCTCTTTGATATTCTGCTGCCTCAGGCTCCCCAGGTGAGAGTCCAATTATAGAGCTGGAGCAGCAAAAAGGACGCGTGATTTAAGGGGAAAAAATATTAAAAAGGGGGAAAAATTAAGAACCTGGATTTACAAAGAATCTGTATTTACAGTCATCCCCCACACATTTACTCATCCTATTGTGAATGTAGATGGTATCATGACAGCAACAATGTCATAAGAACTAGAAACTGAAGATTAAAGTTGCACGGTGCCTGAGAGTGTCCCTGCTGTGGGGCTGAGGGAAGGAAGAAAAAGATGAAGGGGAATCAGCTGCTCCCAACCTGGCAAGACAGCTATGGAAGGAATTCAAATTCCACAGGACAAGCGCTGTGGAAGCACAGAGCTGAGCAAGTAACTCTGCCGGAGGGAAGGTTGAAGGTTTCAGAGGAAGGGAGGTGGGAGGGGTCAGGACAGGGGGAGACGATGGAGGGAGGGCATCTGGCAGAGAGCTGTGTCTGCCAAGGCATGGGGGACCCCAGCAAGTTCTCTGCAGCACCTGGGGTGCTGAGTGCCTGGCTGGGGGCAGGACTGCAGACCGCGGAGGGCCCTGCAGACACGCTCTCCTGGGACCTGGATCAATCGGATCCTGGAGCAAAGAGGAGTAATCAGGTCTGCGCAACGAGTTCCGCGTTTTAGAAAAAGCACTACGACATAGGGGCTGGAGGGTGGGGACACTGGGGGAGAGGCCTGCTAGAAAGCTCCCACAAAGAACTTTCTAGGTCAACAGAATCAGGCCTGATGACCAAGACAGGGACACTGTGGAGTTTCAAGCATGGGCAGCCAATTCAAATGCCAATAGGGACCCAACGGTCATATAAATGAGTATCACAGGCCCAACATGACCGACTCAGCACAAACTCCCTATGTTACCGGTTAACTGTGAGGGCTCGTTCTTTACTTCCACAGAGAAACAGAGTCTCCCTTTTGCTTGAAACATACGGCCCTCCCAGTCAGTTTCTCCCACTTTCAGAGACACGGGGATTATGAAATAAGACATCTGGATTTAAATCATCTTCCCATGTTCCGGTAAGGGCTCAAATTATGTGTTTTAAACCCTGTGAGCCACACCGAGCACTGCCGTGGGCTGTGCTGGGCCACCGCTCCCAGGCGTTATCACTAAATCCCAGAGCGAGGGCAGAGCCTGTGGCCTGAATGAGTTGGGGGCAGGGAGAAGGTGCCAGGCTGACAGAGTGCTAGCAGGGGGCCGGGTGGCCTTGGAAGCAGCGGGTCATCCTGGAACTGCAAAGCTTCCAGGACAGAGTCTGAGCAGCACTCCCCAGGGAGTCTATGACGGAAGCTGCTAAGGATGCTTGTGACTGGAAAAGCGGTGCCACAGTCAGTCATAGAAATTTAGGAAATCCTGAATTAACAGGGCTACACAGGTTTCTTGACTCAACTTCCTAGAGTGTCTCAAGAGCTCCAGTGAATCGTGAACTCCCAAGAGGATAATTCATACAGGAACAGAGTTTTCCCCAAATGCATGTGGCTGAAAAACCCACTGCATCTCTGGGATGAGTATTCTAGAATGCCCACTGAGAAACCCCGGGACTTCCCAAGGTACCAGAGGGGCATGTGTGAGGGGAAAGGCACCACCTCAGCGCGAAACAGCATCTCACAAAGGTGGTGAGGGTTAGGAGGGCGCAAGAAAACTGCTGGCAATTGGCAAGCGATGACAAGACGCTCATTTCAGCAGTGCCTGCTCCAAAAGACAAACCAGAAACAAGAAGGGCATGAAGAGTGCATCCTGAGGTGAGAGAAGCCCACAAAAGAGTCACTAGGCCTCTCCTGACTGCCTAACTTTTAAATAAAAAATTAATTCTAAATTTGCACACGATTAGAAAAACTAGAGTAAAAATATGAAGACCTATTCCCTTCCACAGAGGTGGTTGCCATCAACAGTCTTCTGCACATTTTCAGGATCAGATACACAAATGTGTATACATGTATATATGCGTGTTTCCACATGTACATATATAGTATTTACAAATACAAACATTGTGGGTTTCTAAGTGGAATAATAGACATGTCCTTTTCTACACCTGCTCTTTTTCCTTTTGACCTGATGACGTATCAGGTCATCTTCCCAGTTTGCTCACAGACCTTCCCCGTTCTCCACGCACACATTACTCCATACCACGGATGGATCGTAATTTCCTTCATCAGACCCCTCCTGAAGGACACCCGGGTTGTCTCTAGATTTTCCCCGTTAACGTAAGTATCCTGCATTGGACTTGCAGGTGCCCAATTTTGTGCACACTTCTGTGCAAGGCAGAGTACTGGCAGAGGGCAGGTGCCTAGAAGTAAAAGTCTTTGGTCAAAGAGCAGCAGAGTTTTGAACTTCGATGGACGCTGCAAACCTCGCTCCAAAATTGAACACATTTTTTTACTTAACATACCCAAAGTGTGTTTGTTCCCTTGCCTACACCAGATGTTACCAGTCTTTAGAATTTCTGCTGATCAGGGGGAAGAAAATCCCATGGTTTTAATCTGCATTTCCTAAAGAAGTTGGCCCCGCTTCATTCATCTATTAACCAGCTGTGTTTCTTCTGAGTTGTTTGCTCATACAGTTAGAAACCACCCCCTGCCTTTTTAAAATTTGGTTATCCTTTTTCATTTATTTGTGGGTTCTTCTCTATATCAACAGTAACCTTTATATGTTAATACACTACCAAACTTTTGTGTCTGTCATTTTGTTTTATGTCTTGAACTGTAGAAAAGTTTTAAATTTTCACGTAATATCTTTTACTTTATGGCTTCTGAGTTTTATGGCTTACTTAGGAAGGCTTCTGTACTCCCTACACTTACACAGAAATTCTCTCCTGTATTTTATATCTGCTTCTTGCATTTAGTTGCGTTTGTATCTTTTTGATGGACTAGAATTTGTGTATGTTGTGATGCAAATATCTAATTTCTGTTTAAATGAATTATCAATGCTTCAATCAGTCAATTAGACAAAAAGTCATGTTAGACTTTAAAACTGTCTAATTTAAAATGCAATTCTCAAGTAAACATGGACCAGTTTCTGGACTTTTCCACCAATCTGTCTTTCCCTCTGCCAGTGGCTTTATATGTTAATAGATCATATGTTAACATTACATTTTATTAATGTTAACATGTATGTTTAAAATGTTTCATCTATCCTTTTTCAGGTGAACACTGAACTGACTTCTAGATATTTACTAATTTTTGTGACTATTACGAATGGGATCTTTCCTTGTTTTTTATTGTTATTTCTGAAGTATGGGAAAGTAACTGACTTTTACATACTTAGACATAACTGATCACAATTCTGAACATGATCATTTCTAGTTTTTCCACTGATTCCTGCATTTTGAAAAAAAAAGTCATTATCATTTGTGATTTTTGTTGTTTCCTTAGTAAAGGCTCTGGAACCAGCACCCCTGACTCTCCCCACGTTCTTATCCTGCCTGATTCCACTTCCCCACTGCACCTGACCCTAACCTGTCTGTGCTGCTGTAAAACACTGTCTGTTCACAGGGTTGTGATGACAATAAAATGTATTCATATCTGTAAAGCGCCAAGGGCTCTGCCTGCTTTATTTTATTTTGGGGTTGTCACTAGACACATCACATGCTTCCCTCTCTTTCCTAAGGTCTGGACCCCACATGAAAGTGAGAAAAGGTGACCTCAGATGTAGATATGGATTTGATCACTTCAATAGCTTTATCATATTAAAATTAATATCTAATACACATTAAACACTATGTGTCAGGAACATCCTAAGTGCTTTCCATAATAACCACAAAAACTATTAAGAGCTTACCCTTAAGGAATGCTCCCTATGTGCCAAATACAGTTTCTGGTGCTTTACACAAATTACTCAGTACAAGAGCCCATGTTCTTAACGTCTACGTTACATACTCTTTATTCACATGCATTTTCATTTAACTGCTCACCTCCTCTTCGGGGCCATATTTCCATAGCAAAGAACTTCCTGAAAACCCAAGTGCACACAGAGACAACTAGTGAGCGTCCAACTGCTAACACAGAGGAGAGAGGGAGCAAAGCCTGCTACTGACCCTGGTAACAAGGTCCCAGAGGAACACCATGAGCCGGATGACCTTTTCTGGGCAGGCGGCCCAGGGGGTGAATGGAAGTTCCCAGAAAGAGGTTTATTCGGAAGAAGATGCAAGTTCGGGGTCAAGGCTGTTCATAAGTGAATGAGGAGTTTTGTGTGGGAAGGTGATGAGATTCCTCAGGAGATGACCTGCCTGCCACATTGGCTTCAACAGGCTGCCTTCTCGAAAATGCCAGGTTGGGTGCTTGCAGTTAAAGGATCTCAAGTCGGGGGAGAGAATTCAGGGGATTCTTGGTGTTCCTTCTATGCTTTATTTTGTTTTTAATTTCCTGGATTTCTTCTGGAGGCATCACCACGATTCCTGTCCTCCCATTTTGTGCCTTCACATCTCCCGAGAAATATACGGAGCCAAAAGCTCATAGAAAATTGGTCTCCCCTCCACAATAGCTGCCATGTGCTCTTACTCACATTCAGATCCTGATCACTCTTATGGAGCCAGGAAAGGTGACTTATTCTTCTGGGTATCCCCAGAGCCTAGAACAAGGCTAGCACAGAGGAGCGTTCAGGCGTCATTTGCTTAATGGATGGATGGATGGATGGATGGACGGATGGATGGATGGACGGATGGATGGATGGATGGATGGATGGGTGGGTGGGTGGATGGATGGGTAGATGGATGCGTGGGTGGATGGGTAGATAGACGAATGGATAAATAAGCTAGTGAATTAAACATGTCTTCAGACCTTTCTAGACTTTCTTTCCAATGCCAGCACGAACCGTGCCCTTCAGGTAGCCTACTCTCTGCTCTCCAAACACATTACTTTCTTCCCTCAGTGCTTTGCAGAGGCCATTCCCTGCCTTCCTAAAAATTCCTAAAAGTACTTCCGCCTTCTTCTCTGCCTAATTCTTACTCCTGTCCAAGGCTCAAGCTCATGTAAAAGCCCTCCCTTCGCCTCCAGCCAAAGCAGTATGTCCCTGCCCCCAGCTCATGGCTCATTATTTAGCCCTTGGCCATGAACTCCTTGGACCATCTACTGCTGATCATGCATGTTACAAGGGCTCCAGTAAGTGCTAGTGGAGTACCCTGGCCTCCTCTCTCACACGTCAGGCTCTAAAGTGGAAGATTCCCAAGAGCCAAGCCACAGAACCACAGAGCAGGCAGAAATGCACAGTGTGTACCCCTTCCCCCAGATGGCCTGTGGAAGAGGACCCCAAAGGTCAAGTCGTTCAGCCAAGCCAGACTCCCTGAGGGCTTGTGGCTGGGGTGTCATCACAAGACAAGAACTCATAGGAGCAGGCAGGCATTTAAGGGTAGAGGGGACAGCAGCAGTTAGGCTTGTCCCAAAAGTATAACCCCAAACCCATGGATGGTTATGGAGATGTGTTAGCAAATCTTGGGTAAAACATACAATTCTAAGGCAGGATTGAGGCACCATTTTTGTGTCCTACAAGGCCCACTAAATTCTTAAAAGAGTAAAAATTCCCTTGTTATTGTCAGCCAGATATTTTTTCTTACAACACACTGAACTCCAAAGAGTGAAGTGCGCTAAGAAGGGGGTCCTGGCTCGGCAAATGAATGTAAGTGTTTACGCATGTATGTGTATAAACACACGTGCATACAGAGCATAAAGTCTGGTCCTCCCACAGCTGTCCCCACCTTGAAGGAGGGGAAAAGCAAATGAAAACATCATCTGTCAAGCTCCTTGTGTGCCAGGCACTGTACTAGGTACTTTATATCTGGCATTTTGGTGACAGGCCTGTTGTAGGGGGTTGAACGGTGGCCTCTGCAAAGGTTTACCCACACGCTCACCTCCAGAACCTGCGAATGTGACCTAGAAAAAGGGTCTCTGCTGATGCAATTAAGCTAAGATCTCTAGATGAGATCAATCATCCTGGATTATCTGGGTGGGCCCTAAATCCAATGTAAGAGACAGAAGACAAGACGCACAAGAAAGGAGGAGGCCCTGTGAAGGCCTCTCAGAGGCAGAGACTGGGGTGAGGCAGCCACAAGCCAAGGAATGCCTGAAGCCCCTGGAAGCTGGAAGAGGCAAGGAATGGATTCTTCCCTGGAGTCTCTGGAGGGAGCAAAGCCTTGCTGACAGCTTGCCTTTGAACTCCTGGACTCCAGAACACTGAGAATAAATTTCTCTTGTTTTAAGCCACCAAGCTAGCGGTACTTTGCTCTGGCAGCCCTAGGAGATCAATACAAGGCCCATACGTTCTCTGGCGTTGGTCCAGCGGTCAACACACATTCATGAATCAATTAGTCACAAAAACATTTAACTAGGAGTCAACTCATACCAGAGCCAATTCCATTCACCAACTGCAGGCCTGGGATGGGAGCGTTTGTCCTGTAATAAGCGAAAGAGTAAACTTTCCTAAAAGGGTAAATAACCCAGAGGAGGGGCCAGGAGTGGGTGTTTATACCAAAGGTCTCCAGTGAGTCCTGAGGTAAAGCTGAGAGCTTCCACCAAGTATGTGTTTTGTCCCCAGGGGACATACAGAGGAGGTGAGGTTGGGGAGAGGGGTCTGCCCCGGGGTCTGTGGTGTGAGAAACATTACCACCCATTGAGAGACAGGTCCCAAAGCCCGGGATTCCTGGGAATGGGATGCAGAAGGGAAGACTTACCTAACTCATGCTCCTGAGGAGTTCAGTGTCTCAGCAAAAGGTGGCTGCATCCATGTTCCAAAAGGACATGGCATATACACATTTTTAAATTCACAAGAGGCAAAATGTGAGATAAAACCCCATCAACTTACACATAGAATCCTTGAGAATTATCAACAATATCATAAATCATTTGCGATTTGATGGAGCTAAGCTTCTCCATGGCTGCTGCACCGCCGTTGTTCTTAATCCACTCCAGGACCAAGCCCATGACATAGATGCTAAAATAAAGAGTAAAAAACACATATATCCACGTAGAGAACGGACTTGAGGATACAGGGAGGGGGAAGGGTAAGCTGGGACGAAGTGAGAGAGCGGCATGGACATATATACACCACCAAACGTAAAATAGATAGCTAGTGGGAAGCAGCCGCATAGCACAGGGAGATCAGCTCCGTGCTTTGTGACCACCTAGAGGGGTGGGATAGGGAGGGTGGGAGGGAGGGAGACGCAAGAGGGAAGAGATATGGGAACATATATATATGTATAACTGATTCACTTTGTTATAAAGCAGAAACTAACACACCATTGTAAAGCAATTATACTCCAATAAAGATGTTAAAATATAAAATAAATAAATAATTTTTTTAAAAGTACATATATCCATTGAGTTCAGCTTTGCACAAGTGGAAAGACATCCAAGCAAACAGTCTGAAGTTGTACTAAAACAGACTTAAAGACACCATTAGACATAGACAAGATGAAGGTGGGCCATGTGTACACCAAGGACAGGAGCATGTCACGGGGCAAAAATGAAGATCAACCCAACTCTAGGCCCCTGGGGGCCATTCAGAAAAGAGGGTTAATTAGACTCTTCACTAGAGGTCACATCGGTGCCCACCAGTCCAGCCCAAGCCCGAACGCAAACTCTTCATGACACCTGGAACACAACTCCCTGTGTCCACCCCTGCTGACATTTTATCCCTGCCACAAGCATCCTCAGACACCTAGCTCCCCACCCCCACCAGTTAACTCTTCACTTTCTGAACGCCCAGAGCCCGCTGCCCACACTTCCCCTAGTTTTTACCACTGGCTCTTTATTCTCTATTCCTAGGCGCCCGTGTCTTGGACCTTGCAGTCCTGGAAGACTGGAAGCACAGTGTTCACCTTTCCCCCCGCGAAGCCCCAGCGCACAGTCCACCACCGGGCGGAGGCAGGGTGGCAGAGTGCCCAAAAGCCTGGGCTCCAAGTCCTAGTCCTGACTCTAGAACCAGTGCTGCCCCAACAGATTACCCAGGATTAGTCACCCCAGGGATCCAAAACTCGACTTTCCCACCTGGAAACAGGGAGATCTGCCAACCGACGGTGGACACCCAGCATTTCACTGCTCTGCCCTTCCTAACTCCACCCAGCAGGAGGATCCAGCGGGGTCCCTTACTCCCCTGGTTTCAGAGTTGAGCAGGGGACTTAAGTGGACCAATCAGAGCCTTCCATAGGCTTTTCTGAATTGGGAATGAGAAGAGGCAGAAGTGTGTGTTGGTGAAACGGTGAGTTATGAGGTAAGGGCGACAAGGAACATGTGAAGGAGGCTCATCTGAGACACAGGAGTGCAGACGGGATGGGATGTGGGTCCCTGGTTCCAGGAGGACCCGCTGCACCTCGGCCCTTCATAGAGCTTGGGTGCATCGTTTACCGAGCCAGAATATCAACTCTGTCACATAGAGACCTCAGTGCTCTTGGGGGGACCGCAGGAAATGGGTTGGGTGAAGTGCTTAGTGCAGTGCTGGCACATGGCAGGTGTACTTAGTAGTACCTTTACTAGTTAAGTACTCTAAACTAAGCCCAAAACACAAGACGTTGAAGAGCAATGGATGGTTTTCCCAGTGATCTTCTGAAAGCCCCTCTGCTTAAAAAGGTGCTGAGGAGACTTCCCTGGCGGTCCAATGGTTAAGACCCCTCACTTCCACTGCAAGGGGCACAGGTTCGATCCCTGGTCAGTGAACGATGATCCCACATGCCACGCGGCACAGCCAAAAAATAAAAAAATAATAAAAAATAAAAAGGTGCTGAGGGCTCTCTGTGCACCTCACTGAAAGCCCATGGGACAGGAGCAGAGGTCTCCCGGGGAAAAGAGACCATCCTCCTCAAACTGGGAGCGTGGAAAAGGTCCGTGCTCAGCTATGGCCTCTGTATGAGTGGGACAAAGGTCCCCCATAAAAATCTGTGCAAACTTAGTTGCTGAGCATCAATGTCCCGCAAAGATCTGGGGTGGGGACCCCCAGACACAGCTGCCTCCTCGTTTACTTACTAACACCATGACAGGGTGGGGAGGGGAAAACGCTCAAACACCAGAAGCTTGTCCCAGGGAAGCCCAAGATACTTGACTGGCTCGTTCACTGCCTCCAGGTGCGTGGAGAATCCCGGTGTTTCTACTCCAGACGATAGCAGAGGCCACACTGGGCTGCCCAGCGGGCACTGGGCAGGGAACAGCCAGCACCCAGAACCATGCGGTAGTCCCTGTGGAAGCTTCCCCAGCCTGGCTCCCCAGACAGCCCTGGGAGGAATGAGAAATGGCAGCTAGGGGCAGCAGCGAGGGAGCTCAAAGCAGAAAATAGCCTCTGAATAATTTACAGCCTCGGCTGGAGCTCTCTGGATAAAGACTGAGAAATCAGAGAGCAAAGAAGAAAGTAAGAGGGGGGAAGGACTATTCAGAGGTCCAGGACTCTGCCTTTTACTGATCAAAAAAATCCGAGGCCAGAGCTGCCATTATCCCACTTTACAGATGAGGAAACAGGCTCAGACAGCTTAACTTGGCTAAAGTCATCTAATAAGTGGCTGAGAAAGCCAGGATTCCAACCCCAGATGGTCTGACACCAAAGACCCAGCTCTTTTCACGGTAACAAAGGCCTCTGGTTTACTAGGGGCTCCACGACCCTCACCCACTCTCTCACCTGCCAGCGGGGCAGCCAGGATGGCACCAAGCCACACAGACACAGATGCCAAGAGCAGCTGCTACAGGGGCATCACAGCACACACGCGCGTGTGTGGACATGTAGGCATGTGTTCTAGATACGGTGCTTGCCCTCCCACTTCTCTGTTCCATAAGATGCTCTCGAATTTCCATCTAACCCCAAACTGCTCACTCCCCGACAAACCACAGAAACACACCCTGCCACATGATCCAAACACGCTGAGCGGCCTGCGGGTGCCTGCCTGTTCAACAGCACTTTCTGGAAGCCGAGCTTCACTTCTACCTGCAGCTCTGTTACCCCAGGGTTCCCAAGCTGCTGCTATTTGATTCATCAAATCAAGGCTGCAGCAAAGGCTCAGGCCAGGTCCACAGTCCCAGCCAGACCTCAGCACCAACACACTTCCCTCTTGGTGTGTGACTCACCCCTATGCCCAGACTCACTGCCCACGCTCTCTGGCTAATTTTTTTTTTTGCGGTACGCGGGCCTTTCACTGCTGCGGCCTCTCCCGTTGCGGAGCACAGGCTCTGGACGCACAGGCCCAGCGGCCATGGCTCACGGGCCCAGCCGCTCCGCGGCATGTGGGATCTTCCCGGACTGCGGCATGAACCCGTGTCCCCTGCATCAGCAGGCGGACTCTCAACCACTGCGCCACCAGGGAAGCCCTCTGGCTAATCTTAATGAGATCCTAGCAGGCACAGTCAGCAGAAAGCCCACCCATTTTACACGCTGCCCAGAACCAGCACCTTTAGCCTCGGTCTACAAAGCCTCAGCGTGAGGTAGGGGGCTCAGAGGAAGCAGGCTCTCCCGGAGACCAGATGCCCCTGGAGTGGAAGGATGTCTGGCCTTGCGAGTCGACTGGAGCTTCCGATGCATTATTAACTCACGCTTCTACCCCCATACAATCCGAAACCTTCAAAACACAGGGGCCCTGAAATGCTTATGCAGCTTTGAAACTTGGTTCCCACTAACCAGGGTTAACTTTTAACTGATGTACGGCTTCACTTCTAAAATGTCCCCTGCCCCACACAGTGCAGGTACACTGTCTCAGCCTGCGCATTAAATGACTACATGAATCACAGCAGATCCATTCTCTGGAATATCACTCAGCAATTCAAAGGGGGAAAAAAGGCAGGCGTCTGAGCTGACATGGCAGTGTTCACAGTACGTTGCTGGATAGAAAAAAGAATTCACAGAACAGCCTATATGGTAAAGTTCCATCTGCATAATTAAACATACGGCTCTGTTTGCATATGCCCTACACAGCAAGCAGTTAACAATGGTTACCCCGCAGGCTCTGCTCGCCTCAGGAATCTTTGCCAAGACCATGTGTTAATTTTTTAAGGCAATATGAAATACTCTGTGGGCACTAGGGATTAGAAAAGCACACCAGAAAGTTCCCCGGGAAACTCTCCCTGGCTGTTCTTAAGTATTAGGCCCCCTTGGCAGCCCACACTCCTATGCTGATAAGTAAGGCGGCCTGGGTCAGTAGGGTCATTTTGTTTCTTATTAGTTACTTTACCTCACACTACAGCTAGTTAGTCGTGGTAAGTAAAAATGTCTTGTGGGCTTAGAAGGGAAGTTTAGGCATCCGTTTGCTTGTCCATGAACTGGGCTTAGTGCCCAGGATGCCCACGCCGTCCTTTATTCCACCCCAATTCACTGCTCAGGGCTACAGGCAACTACAGGAAGGCTCAGTTCAAACCGCCCAGGGCCTGTGGTCACTTGGCTCCGAGGTTAAAAGAAAAAAAAGAGCTTCTTTTCAAACTTGGGACATTTTCAAGGACTTCCATGTGATACAAAGTTGCAGTGTTCTGGGCGCCTTATCCCCTTACATCCAGAGCCTGGGGAGGGTGCTCTGCACAAAGCTTCCTCTCTCCATTTATGGCTTGTTCTCACTGCATGAACTACAATTTTCTAATCTTGAAAGCTGAAGTACCCCAAATGAAATCTAAGTTTTTCAAGTCACAGATTTAGGGTAACTACTCAATTATACAGACTTACTTTTTTCCTTTTCTCTTCTTTCGGGGTAAAAGAAAGCAAGACACCAAGGGGTGTCTTGGGTCAGAATACCTTTAACCCAATCTCTTTGGTCCTCCACGTTTATATGATTCTGATCAAATACTATTAGCGATCCTGCCCCGAGATGGTCTCAGTGTTCACTCTTCTGATCTGTCTGGAGAGGAAACCTCGCCCCTTTTCCACCCCTGTTTCTGGGTGTCTGGCTGAGCCCGCTCTTCGGGCAGGAAGGCTCTGGGCGGGGAGTATCTGCCCTCCCCCAGCCTGTGCCCCACCCCCAGGTGCCCAGGTTGGCCAGCTGACCTGACTGGTCAGGGCCTGGGATGGAGGCCTGCACAGGGGCTGGTAGGGGAGTGACTCTCTCTGAGTCACTCACAGGAGGACTTTCTCTCAGGGCCCACCAGGTCTGACTCCAGACCTTTTTATCTCCCACTAGACAGACTGACCTGCTTTCTCACCGTTTCTGCTGATTTTTCACTCTAACATTACCCGACTGCATCTTAACACATATCCACTGGAGTTTTTAAAAATGTGCTTCCCAGTCACTCATGGAGAAGGTGCCAGAGGGCATGACTCCCCCTGCTCTGATCAGAACTGCCAGCCCCCATTTCAGGCCCCATTTCAGGGCCAGGGCTCTCCCTGCCTTCTCCCGCCGTCTCACTCGCGGAGCTGTGGTGGCCTTTGCCCCACCTCCGGAAAGACTCACCTGCCTGCAAGCCAGGCCCTGGCTGCACATTCTAACAGGTAAGGACAGACACCTCCCGCCACCTCCTGCCACCTCACAGCCTGGAGCCGAAGCTCCTTCTCCTGGGGCCCTGCACTCAGGCTCCCCAACCGTCCTGCAACACTCAGCACAGCAGTGCTCCTTTCCCAGTTGGCCAGTGGTCATGGGTTTTTCCACTGCCAGAAACCCCAGAGATAAGACGGGCAGGTGAGAGAGGTTCAGCCCTGCCCCCCAGTCCCTACCAGGCACTTCAGAAGCACTTTCAACCAGGGTGAAACAGAGTGGGATTGACAGGTGACCAGGAGAGTAAGCCCTGAAGCCCTCCGTGCCCTGAGGAAAGCAGGGGACACAAAGTGAGAAGCTGCTCCGGCTCATGCGGGCCGCACAGAAAACCAGCAAAAATTTCCATAAGAATTCTAACTTTGGAAAAAGCTCCTTTCTTCCCCTGGTAAATTATGTGGAAGAAATTTCCTGCAGGCAGCGCCTCAGAGGGAGACCTCTCACAAAGCCCCAACCCCACGGAGCCGCAGCCTGTACCAGCCCGAGCCCCTCTTCGTACGCTCTTTTAAGAGAACTTCTAGCATCCCTGGAAAACCTGGGAGACTCAGAGAGCTGGACTCCCAGCAGCCAACTGTTCTCCAGAGATGGGATCTTTCCAACACAAACCCACACTGAGAGTTTTGCTTGAGAAGAGCACAAAGATACAGGGTGTGCGTGCATACATGGGCTCTCAAGCCAGACCGCCTGGGTTCAAACCCCGGCTATGCCACGTCCTGAAGTATGGCTTTGGCTTCTTCACTTGCAAAATGGGAAAAATAATAAGAGGATCCACCTCCTAGGGTGCTTGGGAGATAAAGAGGGTCATACACATCACTATTTTACATCATAGCTGCCCTGGAAAGATAAGATAATCTATAAACTCTGGCTCTTTTATCCCCGCTGCTAAGGCTGGGGATAAAACAGAAACCACAATGATAATACAGCAGCTAACATTTATAAGTCACTGAGAGCCAGGCACTCACCAAGCACATTTTATACATATGTATTAATCATTCAATCCTCACAGCAACCAATTACTCCTGGAGACACCTGCTGCACAGATAGGTTAAGCAACTTGCCCAAGGTCACACAGCTTGTCAGTAGTAAAATCTCTCAGGCAGTTGCTAAATCCTAGGTGTCACAAAGATTTTCACCAACTACCTGAGTCTGGGAGTTAAAAGACTGTACGGTAGGGTAGCCTTACTCTCCCCAAAAGTGCTGTAATGCAGCCTCTCACTCGGATAAGGGGAAGCCAGGCTAACAGGACCCCTGCAGACTGGGTGAAAAACCAGAGAGGCGTCTGTTCCAGCCAGTGCGTTAGATGCCAGGCAGCCAGCTTCAAGCAGACCCAGTAAGGAAAGAAAAAGACCAGTAGCCTGGCCTCTGAAAGTCCTTCTCCAAAGCCGCACTGGTTGTTTGAGATGCAAGCATGACACTTCATGTGCAGAAAGCTTTTGGGTTAATGGTGAACCACCAAGGCTACCAAGATCAAACAAAAACACCCCAAAAGAAAGGCAAGGAAAGCTGATCAAACAGTGCACAGAGGGGGACGAGGGAGAGGTGAGCTGGGCAGAGAATCTCTTTTTGTTTGGTATTTTTTTTTGCGGTACGCGGGCCTCTCACTGTTGTGGCCTCTCCCGTTGCGGAGCACAGGCTCCGGCCGCGCAGGCTCAGCGGCCATGGCTCACGGGCCCAGCCGCTCCGCAGCATGTGGGATCTTCCCGGACCGGGGCATGAACCCGTGTCCCCTGCATCGGCAGGAGGACTCTCAACTGCTGCGCCACCAGGGAAGCCCTGGGCAGAGAATCTTAATAGGATATCTGGGCTATTAGATCACTGATTCGTGGCATCATGCCCTACTTTAAAAAGTCAACTAGTATTGATGGGAAATACTGAGACCTCCTCACTGGTCCCCAAGCCATACCCCGGAGTTACCTGAAGCAGGGAGGTGTGTTATACAGGGAGTTATTTCCGGCCTGCACTTTGTAATCCAGGACCGAGGGGCACTCTCTGAGGGCGAACCCCAGCAGGTCATCTCGGACGATCACCACCGTGACCCCTGCAGAGCCAACGTTCTTCTGGGCACCAGCAAAAATCGCACCAAACTGCAAAAGAGAAAGCCTGCTGTTCTAGATGCACTGGGTCATTTTTCATAAATGTAGTCAAACTTCCCAATCTCCTTCTAAAGCACAATTTTTATGAGGAAGTGACTCTATTTTAATCCTGTTCGGAGTGCATTCCCTTCTCTAAAGGAATCTCTATCCGGGACAGCAAATCGATACTCAAGAGTTCAGAGCCTGCAGATTAGAAATCTGTCTGATCCTTCTCTCCAGGGAGGGGCCAGCCCAAACCCATCACTGTGGAGGCCTTGTATCTATTCGTATTCACTCTAGTATACCTCTTTTCTACGTCCAAGGCCATCTTTAAAATGAGGCTGCTGTCCTTGGTAACCTAAAGAAATCAATTTTTTTATCCATTTATATTTGTATAAAGGGATAACTGAGAAATAATGGGACAAGCTGCCTGAGAGAGAATTTTAGAAAAAAAGAGATGTTTAAAGATACTTTGGGAAATGCTTTCGTGTAAGATGTAGAACCCTCTTCCATGTCTCCCCATGAAACCTGTAGGAAAATTCAGTGGCATCCCAAGTGGGAGGAGGGGGGACAGTGTGGCTCGACAGGGAGTATTTTATAGTTGACATTGTTTAGAATTGCCAGTGCATGGTGAGTAAAAATAAAAAGCAGGCTATAAACAAAATGTGTACATCCATACAACAGAATATTACTCAGCCTTAAAAAGAAATGAAGTTCTGACATGCTACCACATGGGCGAACCCTGAGGACATTATGCTAAGTGAAATAAGCCAGACAGAAAAGGACAAATATTGCATGATTCCACTTACGTGAGGTTATCTAGAACAGTCGAATTCACAGAGACCAATAAAAAAAGTAGGATGGTGGGTGCCAGGGGCTGGGGGGAGGGAGGACTGCGGTTATTGTTAAATGGGGACAGAGTTTCAGTTTGGGAAGAAAAAGTTCTGCAGATGGATAGTGCTGATGGCTGCACAACAGTGTGTGTGTACTTAATGCCACCGAACTGTATGCTTAAAAATGGTTAAAATGGTAAAGTTATGGTAAGTATATTTTACCACAACTTTTTAAAAGGCAGACTGCTTCTTAGTTTGTTTTAAATTCCTTACAGCTATCATACCCCCCATGGCATGCACCTGGGGAGCTGCTCAGAAATCTACATGTCATGTCCATGCTCTTGGAGCTGAGCTGGGTACAAAGCAAGGTGGGGCTCCTTCATAGCCCCGCAAGCTTTCCTTGATGAGAGCAAGTAACTCCCAAGATGCTGACAAAAGGATTTTCTAAGCGCCACTCTCAGAGGCAGATGAATTCCCCAAGGGCTCAAGTGTGACCCCTGGGAGACGACGATTAACACAGGGTTGGAAATGTTAGGACGTAAACATTCTGACAACCCACACTGTCAGCCTTTCCCCATTCTGGTATATATTAAAATGTCCCCTGACCCGCCCCCCCGCTGGCGCAGGCCTCTTTTACACTCTACCTTGGAAACATCCACTGGCTTGGACAGGAAGTTTGAAGACATGTCGCAGACCAACACTGCTCCCTTCACATCAGGGATAAAGTCAAACTCCACTCCATGCACGGTCTCATTGGCGCAGTAATACACATAGGAGGCGTCCGGGCTGAGGTTCCAGGTGCTCGGATCTGGAATTTCTATCACAGGAGACAAGTTGGGGACTCCACACGTTTCCTCCCCTCTTTCCTTAGGGAGATAGGAGGCAACCAGGAATGATGCCCCTCCCCTAGCAGGGGAAGACAGATCCCAGAGCATTCACAAGTGAAAGCACCCTATCCATCTTACATTACAATCACCACCAACATCCTAAAGGGATGACGCATCTCACCCCTTTGACTGTTACTGGGGGCAAATAATCTTCAAGAATGGCGTGGTGAGTATTTGGGTTTTTTCCTTGTTGCCCAGTATCTATCCATCCTAGGTCCACTGACAGTTTCCTGTGTGTGTCAGCCTCCGTGACTCTCAGCCCACGTAGTTCCAGGTAGAACCAATTCCACCCACAGCCCTGAAGGTACAGTGCAACTCAGGCAAGGCCGCTTGACTGATACAGAATGGGACACAGGAGACAGGAGACTGTTACTGGGAATGCACGAGCGAAGGCATTGAAACGTGAGAGAATATAAGGTCAGGAGCAGCTGCAGCCATCTTCTGAAAAGGAGGGGGCAGCTTTCCTGACTGTGGAGGAGACAGGGAAAGACACCAGAACCGGGAGACACTGTAGGCGGCCCTTGATCAAGCCATACCTAAAGCCAAACCAGCCCCTGGGCTTTGCAGCTAAGTCAGCAGCCTAGGCATACTCTTTCTGCAGCAGCCCGTTAGTAATCTTAACAGGAACAGGCAGCCAATCTAAATGGTATCAGACTAACTACTGACAAGGAGACGAAAGAATTGCCCGGGGCAGGGATGACCTTCTAGCTGAGCAGGGACCACCTGCCAGCCAGCATTTCACTGTCCAGCTCAGCTCCCAGCACTTACTTGTGTAACTCCCAAGTTTGGGGTGGACAATATTCACAGTCCCAAACTTCTTGGCTTCTTCCGCGGCCTTAGCTGACCAGGATCCCGTCACCACATAGTCGGCACACCTTCCTGCTTTCAGGCCAATCAGGTTTAAGGGCACAGCACTGAACTGGCCACACCCACCTCCTTGTACAAAAATCACCTTGTAGTTGTCTGGAATGGCTCTGGGCAGAAGCAGAGGTGACAGTAAACAGGGTCAAAAATTGAGAATGAGTGATGCTCTTCCAGCACCTTACCCTGGGGTGGGTACACTACAAGAACAATGGTCAAGCCCCATCTCTGCCTTCCCCAACCCAGTCATTTATCTACTTAATTCCTTGCACAGATATTTACTGGGCCCTGTAGTGGAGGCCTATGGTTACTTTTTGGATAGAGCTAGTAACACCCTGCTGTTCCTTTAGAGAAGCATCAGCTGCCACTCTCGGTCCACCTGGTTCAAGGGTGGCCAATCCCAGCTCCAGGGGATGAGCACGTGGCCCAAGCTGTCCAGTGTGGTTTGGTTCTGAGACCTGGATCCAAACTTGTAGAAAAGAGGAGCTGTTTCTATTGAGGGAAATAAAGAACTTGTAGGAGCTAAACCTGAAACCACTGGTGGCCATCTGATGAAGCCAACATATGAAAAAGCAGAGCCAGGAGATGGAGAAAAAGACCTTCCTGACATCATGTGAGCTCCTAAATCACTCCTGCACTTTTCTGTTATACGAGATAATACATTCCTTTCTCTCTTTTTTTGTGTAAGCCAAGAGCTGGGCTTCTGTCACTTGCAACCAAAAGTCCTAAAAGTATATATGTGCTGGTTCATGCTATGAACCAGGTGGACACTGGAGAAGGATCTGTGATAATCCTTTAGACCTAAGCATGTATCACCGACCCAATATATATCAAGGTTAACAGCAAAAATATTTGATTGCAACATGGAAAATTAAAATGGTGATTGGCATGGCTACAGGCAGTAGGGTAAGGCCAGCTCAGGCCAGGGAAACTGGACCCAAGCCTTTGAGCAATGTCAGAGCTTGGGAACAGGTTACACAGAAGGCAGACGGCCAAGGGACAGAGCTCCAGCACAGAGGTGTAAGGAAAGCACCAAAGGGCAGGGCAATGTGAGAGGGTCTTGGTCTCGCCAATACGAGGGATGGCGTGCATATATCTGGTTTTGAACCGTGCCTGCCTATATCCAGGGCTCAGGAGGCTAGCAAAGCACACAGACAGGTCTTAGGAGACTCTAACCATGTCAGCAGCTGGGAGGATGGCAGCCCAAGGCAGCGTTCCTGGTTTATGTTATTCAGATGCAGGGCACTGAACAAGGCCAAGAACTGGATGGAAGGACACGAGACAGAGGTCTAGGTACAGGGGTACAAAGAAATCGGCCCATAAATTGAACCGGAAGTTCAAGCTGGAAAGGCTCACAGGCGTGTGGGTCAAATGCCATATCTCTTGGGCCAACATTCCAAGTACCCACCCTATGAAGGATGTGATTGTTCTGTGAACATGACAGGGACCCAGCAGGCAGCCCTGGCATGCTAAGCCAAGCAGATGATTACCGGCTCCAAACACGGACATTAGCACGGGTTTCGAGGGCTCCTCACAAAAATGTCACCAAGCCCGCCCCATCTGAAACATTTTATCAATGCAATTTAAAGGGAAAGTTATTAAATAATTAGTATAATTCCAATTTCGTTCATGAAATAATGCAAGGATGGACCCTAAAACGTTAACAGTGATTACCCCTGACTGGTGGGATTATGGATAATTATGGTTGATTCTGTGAGTTTGTTTTTTCCCTAAACTTTCCACCATGAACATGCACTCGTGTTGTGAGCAGAAAAAAAAAACATATTTCGTTTTCATAACGTATTCATATTTCTATGTGAATATATTTATATAATGTATAAAACCTCTCCTTTAAGCAACAATCTATTTAAGAACACAGTTTCCTCTGGGTAAGAAGAGCAGTGCAGATAACTGGGAGAGCTCATTTGAGAAGCAGTTCCCAGAGTTCAGAACCCTTAAAATTGCCCAAAGAGCCCGTTAAAAATGAAGTTTGTACAAAGGCTCTGATTCAACAGGTCTGGATGGGGCCCAGCACTTGAATTTTTTAATACTTCCCCCACGAGTTGATTCTGACAGGTTGTATGAGGCAATACTTTAAGAGCCAGTGAACTAAGTTATAGTTAATTATGCTGACAAAGATGACCACTTCTTGGGCTTCCCTGGTGGCGCAGTGGTTGAGAGTCCGCCTGCCGATGCAGGGGACGCGGGTTCGTGCCCTGGTCCGTGAAGATCCCACATGCCGCGGAGCGGCTGGGCCCGTGAGCCATGGCCGCTGAGCCCTCGCGTCCGGAGCCTGTGCTCCGCAACGGGAGAGGCCACAACAGTGAGAGGCCCACGTACCACAAAAAAAAAAAAAAAAAAAGATGACCACTTCTTTGTCATTCAAATCCCTTTTAAGCCCGTTTAACTTCCACAGTGCTAAAAAAATCTTTCCCAGATAAAATGATTTCAAACCTTTGGAAAAATCACATAAAATAAAAATAAACATACAAACGCAGGATGAGGAACAAATAAAAAGCATTATGTACTGATCTAGTGAATTTGGGAGAATCTTAACAAGATTATTTGTAAGAATGGAATATTCTGAACACACAGCAGAGTCTAGAAAATAATGCAACAGACACCCACGTATATGGATTACCAAACAAGAGTAACACAATTTTGTCTTTAAAATTTTAAACTTACAATAATTCCCGCATAAGGTTCTCTGTGTTGTTAATAATCTTAGAGAAATCTGATGACCTGTGGCTCATTTCTGTGGAAAGAAAAACAAGAAAAAAAATTCCAGTTCAAAACCAAAGCAACAAAAGTTAACTGTAGCTGTAACTACAAAATTTGCAAATCAAATAACAAAGGGAAATGTCAGTTATTTTCCATTCAAATTGTGGGCCACACTTACTTTAAGGGAAAATCCAAATTGATTTTCAAACTGCAAACATTTTAACCTTATTGTCACAGCAGAATGATTTTTCATAAGTGGCAATATTCACTGAGTGAGCCACGTACTAATTTATCCTTTGGTCTCTGATGACTCACATCTTTCTCACAAACAGGAATTGTATGCAAATGCTGCCCTTAGGACATCAGCACAAAATTCCACACTGTGCTCTCACTTCACAGAAATCTAGGTGCATGTGCCAGACCCACAGGAACAAAATTTAATAGCAATGAGCACACAGTTAAACCTACAGTCTCTTAATAGTCTGTAGCCTTTGGAAATATCAAAAAAGAAAAAGAAAATTAAATTTAAAAAAAAGTAAATTTTAGAACTCAAAGAAACTTCATGAAATTATTAACATGCAAGATCTTCAAAAATAGGCTTGTGTACTTTTCAACATTAATGAGTTCATGTTTAAGAACAGCAAAAACTGTAAAATGAATGTGAAGCAATTTTATAAATGTTTGGGCACTGTTAATGTAAATGTACAGGATCTTTTGATCTCAGATCCTATGCATAGCAAAAACCAATGATGCGACAGTGAGCTGAGACATATAAACCCCTCACCAGCATTTATGTTGCTTTCAAAATTGCTTCGATCAAACATGCTACGGAAGTTATTAAAATTTAAAAATATATCTACAAAGGCCTACAGGAAGACCCAGTAGAAATTCTAGGCTTGATGATGCATTTTAATTGGTTCCCTTTGAATCCTGGACATTCACAGAATCCAAAAGTAAATCTTACCAAGAACACTAATCCCAACTCCTTTGTAGTCTAATAATTCTTTTTGTATCTCTGACAATACCTAGGAAAAAAATAAAAGAAAATTTAAGATGATTTCAATATGCTGTGCACAACTCTGGACATACAAACTGCAGTGGGGGAGGGACAGGGGAGAGCATCCACCCACCAGGCCTGTGAAGAAGCTTATGTCCCTGCCCACAGCCAATCCCCTTCCTCCCCCTATATCCCCACAGAGCCCGGATGATGCAACTTACACTCAAGTTGAGAGTGAAATTATGCAACGTGACTGATGCTAAGACAGTTTTTCCAAAGGTATGAATTTATTTAGAGATAAAAACTCACTTGGACTTAAAAAAAGATCAAGTATAGAAGTTTTCTGATAACAATTCTTTAACTGTCAACTTCAGACCTTTGGGAAAAGTCTAATTCCCTAGAAAAATGGCCCTTCCACAATTGCATTTGCACTCTGACAGCAAAGGCACAAAAAGCATAAAGTTCTGGGGGACAACAAAAAAATCAATTAGGCCCAAGTTAAACTGATAACTCAATTTTCCATCTTTTTGGTCTGCTGGGATGGGTGGGGTGGGCAGGAATTAGGAAGCACCTGCTGTGAATTAAGGTTCATGAGGGGTACTGATGTACTGCACTCTCCCCTCAACAACAGCCCTGAAGGTGATATTCTCATTCCCCAATTTGCAGGTGAAGAATCTCAGCTGTGGCTCCAGAGGTACTTAGCTGTATGCTCCAGTCCAGCCCCTTGACCCATCTTGTAAGATCACTGCAATCCCATAACCACGTTCTGCCTTACAAGGACAACTGGACAGGTGGGACCCATCTTATGGCCAATCTTCCAGTGCCAGGAAACGGGTGGGGGGCAAGGCTCATTCCCTACCCCCACCCCCAAACACATAGCTCACTTTCTAGGGAGGTGCCTCATTGTTTTTTTCCCAAAGGCAATTAAATGTAAATTACTACACACTGAAAGAAAAACACCTATTTCACATATATATCTACATAGATTTATGTATATATATATATGTATATATATATACACACACACACACTTCAGTAAAGAAGAATAGAAAGCCCTTATCAGAGATGCATGCTGCATTGTTTACAAGTGAAATGACACGGTATCTGTGATTGGCTTTAAAATTATCCAGGGGCAGGAGGGGAGAAAGAGGGTATGGGGGAGGGAGCGCTGAAAGATTGGCAAAATGTCCTTAGTTGTTAAATTTTGGATGGGTGCATGAATTTAGTTATATTATTCCCTCTCTACCTTTGTGTATGAGCAATCTGCCATAAAGGAAAAAGAAAGAAATGCTCTAAAAATGTACACAAAATAGGTGAGATAAACCCTCTGTAGAAGCATCCTGCCATCAAAGGAGGTTCCCTTAAAAGATACAGGCTAAAGACCTCATAAAACATAATCTAGGGCTTCCCTGGTGGCGCAGTGGTTAAGAATCCGCCTGTCAATGCAGGGGACACGGGTTCAAGCCCTGGTCTGGGAAGATCCCACATGCCGCGGAGCAACTAAGCCCGTGTGCCACAACTACTGAGCCTGCGCTCTAGAGCCTGCGAGCCACACCTACAGAGCCTGCATGCCACAACTACTGAAGCCCGCGCACCTGGAGCCTGTGCTCCGCAACAAGAGAAGCCACCGCAATGAGAAGTCCACACACCACAACGAAGAGCAGCCCCCGCTCACTGAAACTAGAGAAAAGCCTGCGTGCAGCAACGAAGACCCAATGCAGTGAAAAATTAAAATAAAAAAAGAAAAAACCATAATCTAAACTGGATTGCAACTTGTCTGAAAAAACACCATTTTAACAATAAAGAATGAGACAAAAAAAAAGAGCTTCAAGAATTTGTCATCGGGGCTTCCTTGGTGGCACAGTGGTTAAGAATCTGCCTGCCAATGAAGGGTACACGGGTTCGAGCCCTGGTCCGGGAAGATCCCACATGCCGCGGAGCAACTAAGCCCGTGCGCCACAACTACTGAGCCTGCGCTCTAGAGCCCGTGAGCCACAATTACTGAAGCCCACTTGCCACAACAACTGAAGCGCACGTGCCTAGAGCCCGTGCTCTGCAACAAGAGAAGCCACCGCAATGAGAAGCCCGCGCACCGCAAGGAAGAGTAGCCCCCGCTCGCAGCAACTAGAGAATGCCGGCGCGCAGCAACGAAGACGCAACGCAGCCAAAAATAAATTAATTAAAAAAAAAAAAAAGAATTTGTCACCGTTTTTGTTGGACACATTAGCAATGGCTGATCAAACAAACTTTTAGCAAATCCTCGTCTTTAGTAAATACAAACATCTGTCTCTGATAGAATCATCCTTGAACTTCTGTTCAGACTGTATTTCTCTCATAGATAGTATTCCTTGAAAAGACATCTATAAAATTTTATAACCAAAATCATTATAAAAAGTTTTAAAAACTTCTACCCAAAAAGCATACCCCTCTAATCCAGTGGAGTTTATTTTTTTCAAACTGCAGAATGCAACCACTTTTGTGGATCATAACTAATTTTTTAATGAACTAGAATAGACCAGAGCAGAACAGAATACAAAATTGTGCATGTTGTAGTCATTAGGCTAAATATTTCATAAGCCTTTTGTTTTAATTATGTGCAGGTACTTGCTCATTTTGTGAAATATATTTTTCATTGTGGTTACAGTCAAAAAAAGTTTGCAAAGCTTCTCTAATCCTTATACTTCAATTAAATCAAGAAGACACATAAATAGCAACATCTGCCCCCCCCACCAGCTTGGAGAGCACACAGGAGGGCATAAATCCTCCCAAGAAAATAAATAATAAATAATTGTACTACTGATAACAACTGCCTTCATAATAAATGCAGAACAAATTACATAGGAAACAAATGCGCAGAAGACTCCAAAACACAGAGGGAAAAAACGGTGAGCGTAGAGGAAACGTTTGTACAGCTCTGGCAGGGAATCTCACCTAAAACAGACCGCAATAACTAAGAAAAAACGAAGCCCTGTACTCTCAGCTCCTACTAGCGCTGCCCCCAGAAAAGCAAAATGTCCTTTCCCTTCTACAATTGTAAGATTCTCTGTTCTTATCACAACACAGAGAAGTCTCTGTCCCAGGGAGATTCTACTCAGTTCAACAGCAGATAATTGTAAAGCACTTGGCTATGCACCATGTGGCTACAACATATCATCAGAGTAGTCCTGGTTAGAAAAAAAAAAATGTAACAGCAGCGGCAGGGGTCAGTGCGTCCAAGGCGCAGTAAGAGACTTGGCCTCCTTCACAGCTTGGGCGGTGGGAGGGGAGAATGGATGTGGAGGGAGTGGGTTTTGGAGGTTAGGGGAGGAGCCGGAACCCGGCTGGGGGCTGGGAAGGCAGGGAGTAAGTTCCACTTGCACTTGAAAGGTCTAGTAATGACCCAGGGGGGAATTCAGTCATTCATTTGCTCCAGAACAAAGTGAACCGAACTGGGCTAGCAGCCCAAGGCCTACCAGAATTTGAATATTAGAATGCCTTTAGGGGTCACGCCAGTTTGGGAAAAAAAAAAAAAAATCTACGCATGAAACAGAGGGGAGAAAAAAGGCTTTAGGGACGGGTGGGGTATCTGAGAGACAAAGAGGGAAAGCCTGGGCTGGACTGAAGGCTTTTAAATTTACATTTCTGAAAAGCAATGTTTCCAAGTGCTGGCTAAAGGCAGCACTGCTTCCGAGGGGTCGTGCGCGGGCCTCCAGTTTGCAGTTCCCTCCAGTTAACGCAATCCTCATTCACCATTCATTCACAGTGTCCATTCACGCATCCACTCAACACTGCCTGGTTCGCAGCACTGCGGGGCGAGGCGAACGCAGAGTTGGGAGCTTTTTCTTTTCCGCCGCGCCCCCGGCCCGGCCGGATTGAAGGCACAGCGCCGGAGTTTGCAGGTGAGCAGCGCAGCGAGCCAGCACTCCCGGGCGGGCCGGGTTCTGCACGCGGCGCACCCGTAGCCGGCGCCAGCGACAGCTGCACAAGCAAGCCTCGCCGAGCTCCTCCCCCAATGTATCCTTCTAGAGGCCCACCCACGACAGATCCTAAACTGGGAGTGCACGCCAGTGCAGAGCGTTCGGGGAACTCCGGGCAGGAAGTGGGGATCCGGGAACCCGGTGCAGGGATGCACAGCCACCCACGCGCCTGCTCCCACCCGGACCGTACTGCCGGCGCGCGCTAGAGGGGACTTACCGAGCGCGGCAGTTTGGCGGGCCCGGGCCCGAAGTTGACCACCTGCATCAGGGAATCCATGGTGCAGAAGCGGGAACTGGGAGTCTGCTGGAAAGGACCGATCGTGTGGGCAGCGCAAGTCTGCAGCCGGCGCCGACTCTGTGCTCTCTTCCAGCGCCGAGCCGGCGCCCCCATTGGCCCGCGCTGTCGCTGGCCCTGCGCTGATTGGTTCGCGCAACGGGGCTCGCATCCCCATTGGTCGTGATCCCCAGTCGAGACTCGAGAGCAGTTGCTCCTCCTCGCGTCTACTGTTTCAACCCCTTTTTTGATCAATGCAAGGCGCGCGGGAGATTGCACCATCCAGGCGGCTCGGCTGCGCGCCCGCCGGAGAACCTTGGGCGGCGAGAGGAGGCTACCCCTGCCAACTTGCGTTGGTACTTCTGCACGCTTGATGAGGCGCTTTCCAGTCCTCCAACGCGGACCCTAGCCCCTCTCTCTGGGCTGCACTGGGAGATGGCAGAGTAAATCACCCCTCACCCCCATCCAACCACATCTTCACCAGACCCTAGACTGGGCTCTGCTGCATTTGTTTGAACCAGAGGTCATTAATTCACCAAACTTTCCTAAGCACCCCTATGGGCGCCAGATACTCCAGAGGGGAGGAAGGGCCGCCAAGGATGGAATTGCAGGGTGAACTATGGGCCGGGGGTGGGTGGGTGGGGGATGAGGTTCTCTGCAAAACACCAAGGGGCCAAGGGTTAAAGCAGGATTAAGGGATGGAGGTGGCCAAGGACACTGAGAGAAGCCTTGGCCTGGGAAGCCTGGATGCTTCCCAGGCAAGTCCTTTTAAGCTGCTGATTCTCCATTTCCCCTCGGGAAAAGAGCGAGCTGGAACCTGGCAGTACCTCTCAGGTTGTGTAGGCGCTGACAAGCTGTGAGTTTAGAAACGTGAGCAGATATTAACAAGAACGCGATACCCCTGAGGAGCCTCAGCCCAAGCCAGGGGAGAGGCCCAGAGCCAGGCCGGGCGCAGATCCAGCGCGGCTCAAACTTTTCCACAGAAGTGTTCTTCTCAGAAGAACTCCAGTGGGGATCCACATGGGGTGCTGAAACAGGGAGGTCCCCTTCCTGCAAGAAAAAAGTTCCTTTGAAGTCTGGAATTTCATCATTTTTTTGAAATGTGAATTTTGCCTTTTACTCCTTAATTTAACCCAGTTTCTTATAAAAATATTTTCCCAAATCTTTGAGCAAAAGTGATGCGCCAGGAATACTGCCTGCCCTGGGGCTTTCCATCACACCAGCCAGCGTCAACCACCTCAGTGAAAAGATTTGTAAACTGACAGGGCTAGGACTTTTGTTTGCTTTTTTGTGGTATGTGGGAGGGATGGGGCTGGGATAGGAGGTACTGCTTTAGGTTTGGGAGGTGGAGGGCAAAGTTTCTAGAAAAAGCTGAAATGAACAAGGTCACTGCCTTCCTCAGCACCTTCATTTAGAAAATTGCAAAACTGAGTAGAGGGTATGAATGTCAGTCCATAAACTCAGGTGTGCAAGAATTGTCTCATATCCATTATTGTATATAATGACTTAGTGTAGACCCCCTAGCAGCTAATCTACCAGGGGAGTGGGGGAGTTAGCCTTCCTCCTTCCTGGAGTCCTTAATCCCAGGGATTTACACAGTCCTGTGGTTTGGAATAGGGAGGGAAGCACTTATCCATTTGGTCCTCCTTCCCCAGAAAATGTGGCTGAGTTTTCTCCACTGTTGAAGTCTATATGCTGCTTCAGTAAATTAGCTCTCTACCACTTTTATGACCCACTGAGGAACACAGGAAATTTGGATGGGGTTAGGGTGGCTATCATCCCATCTGCCAAGACATGCCATTCAGTCATTCCTGTGAGGGCCTTGCAGTTTCCTAGATGATATTACAGGGAAGTAAGGCACACAGACCCTCTGCCCAGGGACATGCTGACCTCTGTCTCTCTCTCTCTTCCAACTGAAGGAAATCTCTTTTGCATTCTAAGAAGAATCCATCTCTTTGTATGTTTCTTCCTCACATTCTGTCCACAGACACCTTAAGCCGGGGCCACTTAGGGATAGAAAGACAGTGGTGAACTGAAACGCACATGCCCATTTGTGGCAGAGCTGCACCAGCCCACCATGCATTTATGCCTCCCCTTCCATGGAATAGAGTCTCTGTCAGGCTCCACATTTCACAGCTCCCCTTGCATCAAGGCAGGTCATGTGACTGGAACCCACCAATGGAATGAAACAGAGGATGTCACTTTCAGACCAAGGTGGCTGAGAATAGTGGGCTTCTCCACTGCCTTTTTCCCATTCCACAGGCTGAAATCAAAGAATCCAAGGCCCTTGGGGATGGTGGAGACACAGAAAGGAAGGAGCCCCAGTCTCTGAATTACCTGCTCCGGCCTCGTTGTACATGAGTGAGAAATCAACTTCTCCTGGGTTATGCCACTGAAATCTGAAGGGCTATGTTATCCTAACTAATACACCATTCTAAATACAACAGCTGCAGCTCAGATCCAGCTGGTTGTTGCCAGGTGAGGCAACCAAGGTTGCTCAAGCTATCTTCCCATAGTTAAAGAGAAACCAGAAACCCAGATTTTTATGTGAAATTTCACAACTTTTAAACATCGACAAATTTCAGACAACACGGTACAGATCAATATTGTGAGGGGTCAGACCTAGCTTCCCTGCAGGCCTGATTCAGCCTGCTGACCACCAGCTCTCCTTCTAAGGACTGCTTTATAGTATTCTGCCATGTATTTCCCCTTATTCAACACGGAACACCCTCCTCACCCTGCCTGAATAAGGGAACAGGAGAAGGGAAGACACTGTGGAAAATATAATCTTAAAATATTATTCTGTCACCCTTGTCTATTTTGCAGTGCAGGTGTATAAAGATAGCTCAGGGAACCCCTGCATTTCACGTGGGCCCCTCCTCTCCTAGTAGATTCTCCTGAAATGCATATTTTGTAAATATCAGTCTTCACAGGTATTATTTATTGAGCCCTTACTATGTATGAAAGGTGGACTTCGCTGCCATTTCCAGTCAGATTGGTGTCCTGTTTAGAGGGGAGTAGGAAGAGAAGAGAAGGCAACTCTGAGGAAGGAAGAAACCTATTTGAAATGAGGTGAGGTTATTTCTGCTGCCCTTTTGGTAGCTGGAGATGAAGATCCTTTTTCCTTATCATTATTTCCAGAGAAAATGGGGAATGGGGCGAGGGAATCATCACAGTTTATGTAGCAAAAGAAATGAAATGTCACAATCCTATTACACTCTTCATTCTGACCCCAACTGATAGGAAAATATATCTATCCTACTCACCGTATTACCTCAGTTTATTTCCTCACCCTACTTTCTTATTGTGATAAAATACACAAAACGTAAAATATACCATTTAAACCATTTTTAAATGTACAGCTCAGTGGCATTCGTACATTCACAGGGTTGTGCAACCATCACCACCATCCATCTCCAGAACTTTTTCACCTTCCCAAACTGAAACTCTGTCTGTGCCCATTAAACAATGTCCCCATTCCCCCTCTCCCAGCCCCTGCAAACCACCATTCAACTTTCTGTCTCTGAATTTGACTGCTCTAAGTGAGACGGAACAGGACCCTATGGGGCCTTCCTGGGGACAGACCCCTATGTCCCCTGCCTCTTGTTTGTAGAAAAGCTTTAGGCACCTAGGCCTTCCCTGAGTTCCAAAGGGCAATTTTAATATCAGAGAAGTGAGAAATGCAGAAACAAAAGAAAGCAGTCAAGCAAAACAAAATAGTTTACCCATAAAACAAAGTCAAGGACCTTTAGCTCCTCCTCAATGGCTGTAGATAATATCCTGAGTCATATCCTTGAATTGTTTTGCAGATGCTAAAGCCCCCACCAGGCGGGAGAAGTTAACTGCACGCTGCCCACCAGCACATAGAGCCCAGACTGGTTGGAACCACAAGGTTGATGATTGACATTCCCGAAACATCACCCTGTTACACCCCCCACCCCATCAGTCAAGCAAGCTGATCGCCTATAACCCTCAGCCCTAATGTTGCCTTTAAAAACCCTTCCCTGAAAGCCATCTGGGAGTTCAGGTCTTTTGAACATTAGCTGCCTATTCTCCTTGCTTGACACTTTGCAATTAATGCTATACTTTCCTTCACCACAGATGGGTGTCAGTAAACTAGCTTTGTTGCGTGTCAGGTGATTGAACCCAAATTTGGTTCGGTGATAAAAGTATCTCCTATAAGTGGAACATAAAGAATTTGTCTTTTATGACCAGCTTATATCACTTAGCACAATGCCTTCAAGGATCACACATTTTGCTTTTTTTTTTTTTGCGATATGCAGGCCTCTCACTGTTGTGGCCTCTCCCATTGCGGAGCACAGGCTCCGGACGCGCAGGCTCAGTGGCCATGGCTCACGGGCCCAGCCGCTCCACGGCATGTGGGATCTTCCCGGACCGGGGCACAAGCCCGTGTGCCCTGCATCGGCAGGCGGACTCTCAACCACTGCGCCACCAGGGAGGCCCACACATTTTGCTTTTTTAAAAACATTTATTTAATAGACTATTTTTTTGAGCAGTTTTAGGTTTGCAGCAAAATTGAGAGGAAGGTACAGAGATTTCCCTCTACCTCCCACCTCTCCCTACACACACATAACCTCCCCCATTATCAATATCCCCTACTGGTTGTAACATTTGTTACAACCGATGAACCTACATTGACACATCATTATCACCCGAAGTCCACAGCTTGCATTAGGGCTCACTCTTGGTGTTGCACATTCTGTAGGTTTGGACAAGTGTATAATGTATCCATCATTATAGTATCATACAGAGTAGCTTCACTGCCTAAAACTCCTCTGTGCTCTGCCTGTTCATCCCTCAATTTCCCCTTTTTGCTTCATTTCTAAATAATCAGTATAGAGAGCATTCCACCACAAGATTCACACAAGTAAAATCTCTAAGGGGATCATTTTAGAGAAGTGATGTCTATGGACCAGTGGGCAACATTACACAGGGAACTGAATACTGCTTATATCTCCTGACATCCTAAAACGATTCTGATATAGAAAAAGCATCAAGATTTTTTTAACCTGAAAATGTATTTATTTCACTACTTTTTTTTTTTAAAAGAAAGGAACAAAACTCCTGGCACCATCTCTCTAGCTGTAGACACACTATTCATCACACCCAGCATGCTGGCCCTGGTCATATACATATGCATTTTTTGGATCAGCATTACTTACCTGGGCTATCTCATTCATTCCAGGATCCCACGTGGAAGCATGAAAATGGACCACAGAACACTTGTTTAATCACCTGTCCAAAGTCTATGTGTGCCTACAATAGAAACCATCATCTCAGGGTTTTGTTTAGTTTTTTTAAATAAATTTATCTATCTATCTATCTATCTATCTATCTATCTATCTATCTATCTACCTGTCTATCTTTGGCTGCATTGGGTCTTCCTTGCTGTGCGTGCACTTTCTCTAGTTGTGGCAAGCTGGGGCTACTCTTCGTTGTGGTGCATGGGCTTCTCATTGCGGTGGCTTCTTTTGTTGTGGAGCACAGTCTCTAGGTGTGTGGGCTTCAGTAGTTGTGGCACACAGGCTCAGTAGTTGTGGCTCATGGGCTCTAGGCTCACGGGCTTCAGTAGTTGTGGCTCACAGGCTCAGTAGGTGTGGCTCGCAGGCTCTAGAGCACAGGCTCAGTAGTTGTGGCACACAGGTTTAGTTGCTCCACGGCATGTGGGGTCTTCCCAGCCCAGGGATCGAACCCGTGTCCCCTGCACTGGCAGGAGGATTCTTAACCACTGCATCACCAGGGAAGCCCCATCATCTCAGTTTTAAAATGACTTTTGTAGTGTTAATAATCTGGTGGTAGTTTTGTTCTTTCCTTTTCTTTCTGGGGGCAGATCAAATACTAAGACAAAGGAAGGAGACAGAGCAAAGCCAGGGATATTGGGGGTGGGGGTGGGGGGGTGGAGCCAGTGCAGGACTTGGATCTTCCTGCTTCGCCACTGTTTCTCATACTCCAAACTCCGAAGGACCACACACACTGCCTCAGAAATAAACAGTGATTGTGATTTAATTTATTTTTTGGCTTATGTTTGG